CAGAGCATCCATTGCTGAGACACTGATGCAATGCTACATTTCTACAAATCTGATGAAGAAATTTAGCATGTTTTCATTTTTAGGTGAACTGTTCCTTTAACAGCTGCTGGCTCATTTGTAGTATTTAATAAATGCTGATGTCTTGTGTTGTTTAGTTGTAGTTTTTAATGCAGGATTCATTATAGTTCACGCCCTCATTCCATAAATCATCATCATACGCTCACTAGACCTGACCTGATGTGACTGTGTTTGTTCTGCTCATGACTGCCAGTTTTTCAGCTCTTTGTGTTTAACACACACACACTCATTCACACACACACTCATTCACTCACTCACACACACAACACACACACACACACACTCACGCACAATCACGCACAGACACACACAATCACGCACAGACACACACACTCACACACAGACACACACACTCACTCACTCTCACACACACAAGTCGAGAGGTTGGACGATTCGAGGTGAGTAGCGTGTCTTTGCTCTCGCTGTTAAACCCAACGCTGGTTTCTCTGACCTGAGGGTCTTTTTCTCTTCACAGAAAGACAGAGTGAAGGATTTCAGAGTCGTCATCATTAAATATCTGGAGTCACTAGTTCACACACAGCAGCAGGTACGTGTTTAACCAACACGACTGACCAGCTCCAGATCAGCAGCTGGGAATGTTCATCTCATGTTTGTTTTGTCTGTTTTTCAGCTGATAAAATACTGGGAGGCATTCTTACCTGAAGCCAAAGCGATCTCGTAATTCATCAAATCACCGTCTTTCTTTATTCCACAGTATGATCATGCAAGAAAAAGCTGCACAGACTTAATGATAACACTACATTAATAAACCCAGAATCTGAATCTCTTCATATTTGTACCTTCACTCGGTTGAAGATCCAGCGATCGTCTCTTCACGATTCACAGCTCGTTCGTCTCAGATTGAATGTTGCATTAGGCAATGATCCGGCAGGGGAAGGCCTTCTGAAGCGTTTTCTGTTCTCCTTTCTCTCGTATGTACAGAATGAAGCATTATTCTCTCATAATCAGTATTTAAGAGCATCAATAATCGACGAGGCTTCTGGGAGCTCGTGCACGACGGACGGATATACAGTGGGTACGGAAAGTATTCAGACCCCCTTAAATTTTCTCAAGGATGATCAGAAGAAATGGACAGCACCTGAGTTAAATATATGAGTGTCACAGCAAAGGGTCTGAATACTTAGGACCATGTGATATTTCAGTTTTTCTTTTTTAATAAATCTGCAAAAATGTCAACAATTCTGTGTTTTTCTGTCAATATGGGGTGCTGTGTGTACATTAATGAGGAAAAAAAATTAACTTAAATGATTTTAGCAAATGGCTGCAATATAACAGAGTGAAAATTTTAAGGGGGTCTGAATACTTTCCGTACCCACTGTACATATGTATATTTTTTTATTTTGCTTTGTAGCCTGAAATTTTGGGACGTTTCAGTTGATTCCTTGTTCCAACAGATTTTTTTCATCGCAAGTATTTTTTACTCTACATTCCTGTGCAACCTTAATAAAGGAATGAATCTCGACTTCATGTTTTTGGCTTCAGTTTAAAGTGGCTTGTAGTTTCTGCACGCTAAAAAAAATGAATGCATCAGTTTACATCAATCTTTTGGAGTTATGACGATTTCTAATAAAATTATGTTCAACCAGCAAACTACACTGTGTTAGAGGAACTCAATATTTTGTTGCATAAACAAAACTTGATTGCTCAAAAAAATATTGTTCACTAACTTTTTTGAACATAATTATAGAATGGTGAACATGGAATAAATTAGTTTGATCTATTTCTATAATAGCACATGCAAAATTTATTATTTGCATAAATGATTATAAATTATTATGCATAAATTTAAGCTCATATTTTTAATGTAGTATATACATTCATGTAGTCACCAGCAGTGTTGGGTGCAATGCCTTACCAAGTAATAAAGTTCACTTCAAGTCCCCTTGAAAAAGTAAAGTAAGCGATTACTCTTAAATTTTTTTGTAATCTATTTACTTTAAAAAAATTATTTACATTTATTAAAATTTGTATTTAATTTATTTACTGATGTAATTGCATTAAATACTGTATAGGCTATAGAACAATTCTATATAAAACAATACATCAAAATGAAAATGTATGTATTTAATGTAACCTTAAATGCTTTAAGAATAACTTTATATTAATTATTTTCAAGAAATAAATGAGCAGTTTCATGTCTATCCTGTATTGCTCAACTGGTCAAGGTCGATATGGGATTTAGAAAGTAATTAATAATAAGTAATGCAATACTTTTCAGAGAGAGTAATGAGTACAGTAATCTAATTACACTGTTGAAGATGTAATTAGTTAGTAATTAATTATAAGCTCTACTTTTTAGCACAATGATAACCACAAAAACTAAAACATTTTAAGTAAAAAAATTAACAAACTCTTTTAAAAGTCAATCATGTCAGCATTAAACAGTAACAGGTCTCTCCATTTACTAAATAACAAAAAAACAAAAACGTTTATTCTCCTTATCCATATGCAAAGCATGCCGAGAACTAGAAATGTACCTCCCAATTTGCACTTATAAAGACAATTTATTAAGTTACTTATTTATTACTTAAAAGGTTAGTTCACCCAAAAATGAAAATTAGCCCATAAATTACTCACCCTCAAGTCATCCTCGGTGTATATGACTTTCTTCTTTCAGACGAATCCAGACGGAGTTATATTAAAAATTGTCTTTGATCTTTCAAGCTGTTTAATGCCACTCAGCGGGTGTTGCATGCATCAGTCCAAAAGAAGTGAAATAAAAAGCACACATCAATTTTAAAAAAGGTGTCTCAGGGCTCCTGGGGGTGAACAAAGGCCTTCTGTAGCAAATCGATGTGTTTTTGTAAGAAAAATATCCATATTCAAAACATAATAATCACTTTAATGTAGCTTGCGCCAGCAGTTGTACAAAGAAGCAGCTCCGGGCGGATGACGTCTCGTGAAAACCAGCGTTTGTTAACAGGAGCAAAGGAAGCAAAGTTTCCTTACCTTAGCAAAGGAAAACCAGTCTCCTCTTGG